TCCTATGATGATTATTCTACCCGATGATCCTTCACTCTTGATGAATGTCTCTTTTCTTTTATGCACACTGAGAGTATTTGCCCCCAAAAACAAATTCCTTGTGTGTCCAATCACCCTTGGCCAATAAAAAGAATTCTATTTCTATTTCTATTCCATTTAGATTAAATCCAAGCTACCTAAGATCCGAAAGAAGCGCTTGCCGGTCGATCTGGCTCTGGAGACCACGTTCTGGCAGCTGTGGACGGGGGCCGACCTGGATCCCAACCAAAGACTCGGTTCCCCAGCTGTTGAAGGGAGCCGGTCCTTTTTCCTGTCCTACGATCAGCCCATCCTGTCCCCGCTTCGGCCGGAGGAGCGATCCGCCAACCTCTCGCTGAGCAGTTTATACGGCGGAGCTTTCAGCCCTGGCTCCTCCCTGGAGGGAATATCCTTTGGAAGCGATCTTCTGCTGGAGTCTTCCTTAGAGCGCATCATGGCTAGGAAGGCTTCTGCCTCTCCCACCTGGTCGGGACAGAGCTCTTCAGAAGGTCTCCCGTCTCGTTTGCCTTCGCGAGGTCCATCTGGGTTGTCCTCGCCTTCCTCAGGCCCGTGTGAGCCTGAAGGAACAGACTCCCGACCTTACCTGAGGACACCTGCAGGAGAACGTCTACCGGAGACCCAGTTGGAACCTCTTACCCCTCCAAACTCACCTTCGGAGGAACAGGATGGGTCAGACGTTGTTCAGATCGTTGAACCAGAAGGAGGAGGAGGAGGAGGAGAAGAAGAAGAAGAAAATGGAGAAGAAGAAAAAGGAGAAGAAGAAGAAAAAGAAGAAAAAGAAGAAGATGGAACCAAGACTCTTTCCTCCACTGCTTCTGGTGAAGAGGCGACTCAGTCGGCACCCATTACGACGTCTTTGCCGGATCAGAAAGGATCCGAACCGCGGGTATCGTCTTCTTTCGAAGAAGAAGAAGACCTGGGTGAATCTCCTTCACCTGCCCGATCGCTTTCTGTGGACGAGGATCTCCCGTCGAGGGGATCCTCTGCAGAAGCTCAAGATCAGCAGGAGTCCGTGCCCACCTCCTATCCCAGCGGGGAGGATTTAGCCGAAGGCCCGTTGGATCAGCAGAGGATCCCAGTGGTGGTCTTGACGACCGTTTCTTCGGAGGTGGAATATGGAGATCAAGAGGAACCTCCTCAGCTTCCCACCTCGGGGTTCCAGGACGTGAACCTCTTGGAGTCTTCCGAAGAAGAGGAACGTCCTGGATTGGCTAGCTCTCCTCTTGTGGAATACGGCCAGGAGGAGAGGCCGACGTTGGAGGATTTATGCTCGCCGCGAAGGTCAACGTTGGTTCTGCCCTCCCGATCGGTTTCTGGAGAGCTGTACAAACTCTTTGCCCAGATCCAGTCCTATGCCTTGCCTCCGGAACCCGAGGAGGATGCTTCCACGGAGGAGGAGGAGGAGGAGGAGGAGGAGGAGGTGCTCACGAGTAGCAGAGAAGGAACCACGGAACCCATCTTCATAACTCAGGTGGGTGAGCCGGCGAGATGCCAGATGACAGGTGGTCTTCCATCGACGACCGCAATTGAGGCCCAAAATCTCTCTGTTGCTAAGCGAGACAGTTGAGTTTTGCCCCATTTTTACCACCTTCCCTGCCACAGTTGTTAAGAGAATCATGCCTCAAGTGGAACTAGAACTCACCGTCTCCTGGTGATTGGCCCAAAGTTACCCAGCTGGCTTTCCTGCCTAAGGCAGGACTAGAACTCACCGACTCCTGGGGATTGGCCCAAAGTCACCCAGCCGGCTTTCATGTCTAAGGCGGGACTAGAACTCCCCGTCTCCTGGTGATTGGCCCAAAGTCTCCCAGCTGTCTTTCATGCCTAAGGCGGGACTAGAACTCCCCGTCTCCTGGTGATTGGCCCAAAGTCACCCAGCCGGCTTTCATGTCTAAGGCGGGACTAGAACTCACCGTCTCCTGGTGATTGGCCCAAAGTCTCCCAGCTGTCTTTCATGCC